ACTTTTCATGTTGGAAGTCTAGTTCTAACCATCTTTCCTAACTTTAATGTTAGCCTGAAAGATCCCACCATCCTTTGAAGATTAAAGGTTCAGATCTAAATCACTGGAGCTGAACAAGTAGCTGATGCACTATCAGCCACTCTTCATCACCAAATTATTTACAAGCTGCAAGATAATGTTTTAAATCTTGTTTTAGCTTCCTATAAAGACAGAACACTATTTGTTCTGGCTAACAACCAAGATGAAACACCCTCTATAGTTCAGATATCTAGAAATATCTCTCAACAAGACTACATAAGCTTATTCCGATGCAGTGGGTGACCAATTGTGAGAAGCACCAACCAAAAACCTATTTAGTTCATTGAGGCAACTTTCAAAAGATCTGTAGATGACACAATCAAGACCATCTTCAAAAATCCAGAAGATGCTCCTGGTTCGAGCACCTCCATATTCCAGTCTATGATGATAACACCTGTCACCTAGGAAGACAAGATCCCCATGCTAGCGTGTGCCCTGACGACAAACCTATCTTCATGAATAAGATAGGAGGACATTTCATCTGGGACGCAGACCTAGACATGTGTGATTTCGACTGTGACGGTTGCAACCACACTGGAGACACTAGTGATGAGGATAGTGATGATTCAAACAATGAAGATGATGACTACTTAGGAGGATCCTACAAACCTCCTTTCTCTCCTAGCAGAAAATTTGAAATAGGAAAAGGTCCTTGGATACGACTCCATCGCCAGGAGATATGCTGAGATTCTTGAAGAGGAAGTTATCCTCTTTCCGAGACGAGAAAGGTGTAGAACCTTTGTCATGCCACCTCCTGTTGCTCCTCCCATGTCATACATGATGATTAACCTGACAACTTACAAAGAAGAATGTCCTCCTCCTCTTGAGAGGAACGTTGATCCCGTGTCCAAGACAATAACCAAATCGCATGTTATCGGTCAAGAAATCGGCCCTGATGGAAGAACAAAACCCTTAAGCCAGGCTGAGGAAGTACTCAATTGGAAAACAAAAAATGCTAGAACCTAGAACTTTATCTTGCAACGGATTGACTAGAAGATAGATAAGATTTCTACATACCTGTCACCGTCGTCAGAAGAGGCAGTCGGAGCGACGCGATGGTTTTTAATTGACTCGCGTTTTCTTTGAAAGAAACGGTTCAACGCCTTTAGGCCGTCCGATAACCAGGCTAGACCTAAGGGCGAGGTTTTCGAATAGGTTCGAGGAGTCGCCACCAGTGTTTTAACCTTAAACACTGAAAAAGGTAAAAAAAGAAGAGGCAGTGGTTTTAGAAAAAACCAACTTTGGCCATTACAACCAGAGTCGGGTAAGGGAGTTAGTTACGTGCGGGGAAGGTGTTAGCACCCCCACAACGCCCCTTTCGGGTTCCCTATGATGGACTAACTTAGAAAATAAATACTTAAAGAAATTACATTTTTACCCTATTATTTGATCTACTTGCAGAATTTAAATATCTACATGTCTCTACTATCTAATGCACACAAAGAAAGCGATAAAGAAAGCAGTAAAAGAGACAAAGAATAGAGAAGAAACCTCTGAAGCGAGCTTTATATTAACTCTTCTAAAACGTGAGGACGCTTTTTGGCAGTCCTCGCACTCTACAAGCACGCTCCTCTCCGCAAAACAAAGAAAAGTCACTCAACCGAGGGTCGGATGCCTCAAAGAGAGACCTCCTTAACCGATTTCAACCTTAACGGAAATCGGAAAGCTCCCTCGAGCCCCGGAATAATGCTCAGGGTCACTCTCAAGTGCCAAAAAGCTCCCAAGAGAGTGGAGGAGTGCTAAGGTGTGAATTTTTGGAGGAATGAGGCCCCTATTTATGGGGATTCGGGCCTGGAAAAGGCGGACAACCGTCTGGACAAAGCAGACGGTCATCCAGGGCAAAAAGTGGCCATGGACGGCCGTCCATGTAGTGTGGACGGCCGTCCATGGCCTTAAAGTTGCCATGGACGGCCGTCTGCTTGTCATGGATGGCCGTCTGCCTGCTCTGGACGGCCATCCACCTGTTCTGGACGGCCATCCACCTGTTCTGGACGACCATCTGCTATCTCCGGCGGATTTCCCGATTTTTAATGCCTCTAAAAACGCTTCCTATCCTAAATGGAACCTAGAACAATCTACTAGGGACTTGATAAAGTCTTAACCATCTTCGGAATGGGCGATCTTCGGCTTTATTAGGAGTCCGGGCAAGATTTAGGGTCTACAGCTGCCCCCCCTTTACCTGACCAATTGACCATGGGTTAACATACCATGAGGTCATTTGGCGGGTGAAGGAGTTAACCCTCTTGCCCGATTATCTTCTGGATGCTCCTCTTGTTGTGGAGGCTGACCCTTCGGACGAGACGTAGAGACTTTTGGGATGCTCCTTCGATGCGGTAGCTGACCCCTCAGACGAGATGCTGTGAGGCTTCAAGATGCTCCTTCGGTGCGGTAGCTGACCCTTCGGCTGACACGTGGAGACTTTCAGGATGCTCCTTCGATGCGGTAGCTGACCCCTCGGACGAGATGCTGTGAGGCTTCAGGATGCTCCTTCGGTGCAGTAGCTGAACCTTCGGCTGACACGTAGAGACTTTTGGGATGCTCCTTCGATGCAGTAGCTGACCCCTCGGACGAGACGCTGTGAGGCTTCAGGATGCTCCTTCGGTGCGGTAGCTGACCCTTTGGCTGTGGTGGCGGCTTACTACTTCTGGCCATGCGCCGGCTTTGCCTGTGTGCAGGTCTTCGTCTTCAAGTCTTTCCGTTTCTTGAAGAGGTGGTGGTGGCTTACTGTTTCTGATCATGCGCCGGTTCCATGGGGAGTGATTGTTCTTGACTTTTGTGTAGTCATCCGGTTTGCCGGGGATTCTTCATTTTTGGATTTTTGTTTAGTCGTCCAGCTTTTTGACTGCTGGGGATTCTTGATGAATGCCTCTTAGGTAAGCAGGGATCCATTGAGGATTTTTTATTCTGGTGACGCCTCTGGGTAGGCAGATATTTCATTGAGGTTCTGATAGTGCCTTGGATGCTTCATCAGAAGTGAAGACTTTTGGCTGTAATGTTTTGCCTTTGAATAGGCTAATACTCCCTTTTGGGGATGTTGGCTCTTGATGATGCCTCTGAGGATATGACTGTGAAGATTGCATCTGGGTGTAAATTCTTCTTTTTGGCGATCCACCAGAGATTTGGTTGACTCCTTGGGGATCAAATTTTGATAGCCCTTTGGGGGAACGGGGTCTCGGCTCCTTAATTGATATGGGTGCGAGCTGACGTCGTCAATGGAATTCCTAATCGTCCGACTTGTTGGTTGCCGGGGATTTTGATGATTACCTTTTGGTGTAGGTAAGAATCTGTTGGGGATTTATTGGCCTTTTATTGGCTGCGGCAGTTGGAATACTTGATTAATTTCTCATTTTTCCGCGGTTTTATTCCTCTTTCTGATTTGGAATTTTGGCTTTTTTGGAATGATGCATGTGCCTTTTTAGTTTCTTCTATGCATGCTGGCTTTTGTACAGAGATGCAATAAGACGGGAACATCAAGTCTCATTTTATTTATTTTTGCGGAAAATTAAAGTACAATAGGAGCTTTCATAAAGATCTCAGCTTTTCGGCTCTGAGCTGGATGCTGAGGATGGTGATGGCGAAGGGAGTCGACGGAGTACGCGATGCTGGAATTCTTCCTGGCTTCGGATCATGCCGTGTATGTCCTAGCCTATTGTGTCCATTCTCTGCATGAGGCTGTCTACCCTCAGGCTAAGGCTTTCCCGGCCTTGCTCATAGCTCTGCTGTCTTAAGGACAACTGATCGATCTGTTGGCACAGGTGCTGGTACTACCTGTCTGAGTGGGCCCTGTCATCGCTCATGTGCTGGTGCAGGCTGGCGAGGTTGTCTTCGTATTGCGTCTGTTGCTGTTGGGCTCCTGGACCGACGGGCGTCTCTTGTGATTCTGAAGCGTCCATCTCCTGGATGTTGAATGTCATAGCAAGGATGGGGTGTATGACCCAGGAGGTGCCCTGACGGGTGAGCATGCTCATGTGGGCGAGTACCGGACCATCTATGAGTTCTGGTCGCAGGGCAGCGGGGATGTCTTCTCCATCAGTGCATCCCTAGTACTCAGCTAGAGGAGTGATAAGGGGGCCTACCATGAGGGATCTTGTAGGGCCTCGCGTCCCAAAGTCCTTCAGGGCCTTCAAGAAAAGGTAGCCTGGGTTGCATCGGATCCCTTGATGCATGCAGTAGATGACAAAAAGGTCTGCCTGAGTGACCTTGCCTTGACTTTCCTTCTGGCTATGAAGGGTGCCTGCTAGCAACTTATGACAGATGCGGAGAGGCGGGAGGAAGGCGGTCCCTTTTGGATTGGCGGGAACGTGCTGGGAGTCGGTGATCTCCTCCCATATCTGACTAGTGGTGAGGGTAGCTGGCCTTTCACAGAATGCCCCCTTGTATTCCGGCATTTGGATCTCTGCGGGTTGGTGGAATCCCATGAGGACGTTGAAGTCGTCTATGACATTAGTCCGGTAGGCCCCGTTCATCCAGTAGGTGACTGCTGGGACAGGCGGAAGCCCGGGGATCATAGATGGTAAGTCTATGAGTGTGACCGAAGCAAGGAATTCCAGCGTGGCCGTACGATGTATGCGGGTAGGTGGATCTTTGAGCAGGAAGTCCCACCCCATACCTTGGATGTATCTCCTTACATCCTGTTCCCAACCGAACATGGCTAGGACGTTGAAATCTAACCAGAGCATAGGGTGCCAAACATACTGGCTGATATTGGCGAACCTAGCCTGGTGTTGCTCGGTCAGTTGAATGGGAACCTGAGGAGGAGGGATGCTCCTTACGGGTCCCCGGAAGCGCTTCCGTCGTGTAGACGATTCTCCATGATCCATTACTCAACCAAGAACACTCAAAATATGCAGAAGGAGGTGTAAGAGGAAGGGAGAATGAAAGAATGAGGTGCCATGAACCATTTGGGGCGCCCAAATTTATAGGCAAGAGAAACAGGGGTGGACGGCCGTCTGCTCTAGGTGGACGGTCGTCTGCCCCCAACGGCTACCCATGGACGGCCGTCTGCACTAGGTGGATGGCCGTCTGCCCCAAACGACAACCCCTGGACGGCCGTCTGGCGAGGGTGGACGACCGTCTGCTCCCTAACGGCTCCATCTAGACGGCCATCTGCCTTAAACGGACGACCGTCTGCTCCTTTTTTTGTGTTTTTTGTTTTTTGCTTTATTTTTGTTATTTTTGGAGGAAATAGGACCTTATTCATCAACATCTATGCATTTAATGTTCATGATATGCAACTTATAATGCTATTTCAATTAATTACTTTCAGAAAAATTAACTGATGTACTCTTGATGGAGAGATGCTTCTGACGGAGAGATTCTTCTGATGCTTCCTTCAGCTGTACCATTTCTGCCGTTTTGGGTTTTGCCTTTACCGAAGTATGATCGTGTTGGAGGGCTATTTTGTCATACTGGTGTGCTTCTTCCCTTTTTCGGAATTTCAATCCTCCTATTGATTATTGTGCTTTCATATTACCCGGTTAATCGCTAGAATATCATAGTGATAAGGATCAAGAGAAAAGAAGGAACAAGATGATTAAATCAAAGGTTTGTGTTTTAGAGGGGGTTTTTGAAATCAATGGTATCTATAAGCACGACTAGTCAAGGTTAGTCAAACTGTTTAGGTTTAGCTTAAACAAGCGTTTGTTTATGGGGTTGCGTCTTTGCTTGGTGAGTTTTACGGCGCTTGCTAAGACCGCCCTTCGGGTTTTCAATCTAGGATATTGTGTTTCGTCCTTAACTTTTGTTGGGGTTTCTTTTTATTATGCTTTTAGAAACCCTAATGGACTTTGTTTTGTAACCCTATCTTTTGCCTAGGCTACCCTTTATTATTGGTCGGGTTTCCTAGCGGGTTGACCCTAACTTTTGCGTAGCCCCCTTTGGTGGGTTTCCTACCAGGTTAGATGCCCTTTCTTTTTGGCCTTTGGCTTTTATGGGCTTTCTTGTTATTTTGGCAATGTTGGCAAGACACGGTTTCACTGTGATGGGGTAAAACTTTATTCGTGTTCCTTATCAATCAATGATGGTTTAATTTGTTTCTTTATTGTTGGTGCGCTTTCAAGTTTTTTAGACGCCTTTTAGAAACGTTTGCTTAAGCACAGTTATTAATGAGGTGTAGATATGAGTAGTAAGAAAAGAAGCAGATAGTAAGAAATCTATTCTCATATGATTAAAAGGGTAATATGTGCCCTGAAAATGACGGGGGGTCGGGCTGCCCCCGGGGAGTAATCTCTAATAGTCATTGGGTTTACATTCCTTAAAAATGGAAGAAGAACACCTAATGACTAAAGTTGCTCCTGACGCCTATATCCCTCCGCTTCGGAAGATCTGATTCAGCGGGCGGAGGGAAGACTTCCCCTTTTATTCTTGTACTGGGGTTGTACCCTAGACCGCGTCTCAAAGGATTGTCCTTGAAATCTGGTGGCTCTCTTATCCCTTGGGAATTTGTACCGAGTCCCTGGCCTTGGTGGTATCCGTATTTTGTCATCATATGTGCCACCTTCATGTTATTAGGAAGTCTTTCGACATTGGCAATCTCCAGCGCCTGAAAGGCTGTCTCGAAGGCCTCTTCTGTTGTATCCACATAAGGTAGGGTAGATGGCTTACTGATAAAGATGTCATCTTCGGCTTGAACTGTGACCAGTTTGTCGTCTACCACGAACTTGATCTTTTGATGGAGTGTTGATGGGATTGCTCTGGCATCGTGAATCCTAGGTCTACCAAGGAGGCAACTGTAAGCAGGAGTGATATCCATCACATGGAAGTCCACGTTAAAAATAGTGGGACCTACCCGGATTGGTAGATTGATTTCTCCTACTACCTCACGTCTTGATCCGTCGAAGGCTCGAACGATGGTGCTGCTTGGATGCATATGGGCTCCTTGAATTGTCAATTTGTCAAGCGTGCACCTAGGCATGACATTCAGGGATGACCCATTATCCACCAGGACTTTGGCGATGAGGTATTCTCTACACTTGACGGATATGTGTAAAGGCTTGTTATGGCTCGACCCTCTAGGGGGAAGTTCTTCATCAGTGAAGGTAAGATGATTACTGGCTGTGATATTCCCAATGATTCCTTCGAACTTGTCTTGGGATATGGTGTGGGATACGTGGGCTTCGTTCAAGACCCTCAGCAGTGCGTTTCGGTGTGGTTCCGAACTCATTATCAGAGACAACAAAGTTATCTTTGCGGGCGTGCGGTTGAGTTGGTCTATGATGGAGTATTCGCTCTGCTTTATGAACTGGAGTAATTCGTCTGCTTCCCCTTTGGATTCTCTTTTGTTTTCTTCTTCGGTTTCTTTGTTTTTTTCTTTATTGTTGGGGGCATCTTCTTGTGAATCCTTGGGAGCATATATTCGCCCACTTCTGGTCGTGCCCCCAATATCGGCTATATTGGAAACGTCTTCATTTACTGCGTATTTCCATGGTACAGCTTTGTTTGATTCGTAGGGGAAAGGACGAGGCATGAATAATCGTAATGGTATCCTAGTCCCCTCTTCTTTACCAATAGTTATAATCAGCGGTTGAGTTTTATTGACCATTGTGGGTGGCTCAATCGTTGAGGAAAGACTGATGATGAGTGGTTTTCGTTCCATTCTTTTCTGTTGTATGACAGCACATCAGTTAACCTTTCTTTTTTATTGTCTTATTAATTTTTAAAGCAAGGAGAGATATGTGAATGAATGCGAGATGAATGCAATAAACAGTTATATAGATAAACAAAACGTGATTCTATTTATCGGAAAAAGTGTACATTCCCCTAGACCATGCTACGAAGTACGTTTTGGCAGAAACGATAAAGCCTAAAGAAACCCACAGGCGGGCTCTGGTTTCTACGTAGTTCCTCCTCAGCTTCCCGTACATGATGAGTGAGTGCTTCGGACTGGCGATGGACTGCTTGGCTCGCTGTATTTACGAGCCTCTTCTATCTTTGCCTCTTGATGGATGACCAATGCCTGTAAGTCATCAAGTTTCTCAAGGGCTCGGTCTCTTTCCTGCAATACTTGGCTGTACTAAGCTCATCCGTCTCTTTCCTTGCATCGTAGCTCAACCAAGTCTCTGCTAAGTCTTTGGGCGACTTCCCTCTTTCGTTGTGCGTCAGACCGAGTTCTTTCGAGGTCTCGTTGTATTGTCTTGGTTGCTTGTGCCTGCTTTGCCAATTCAGCCTCAAGGTGTGCTAATTTGGCCGTTATTTCCTGGATTTGATTATCCGAGCCTGCTCTAGCAACTTTAGATGCTCGGGCAACCTCTTTGTTGGAGTCAGCACACTGGTCCTTGAGACGCTCTATCTCTTGGTCCTTCTTCTTGCAGTGCCTTTGCAGACCATCGATGGTAAGGATAGATTCTTATTCTTTTTCTTCAAGGCCTCTCAATTGGGCTCCCATAACCTCTATCCTTTGGGTCAAGGCATCGACTCGGGTTCGCAGTTCTGCATTTGCTGACGGTGAGGGGAATGGAGTGGATAGATGTGGCACCCCTCTATTTTTCCTCCTGTAGACCCCAAATCTTGCCCGACCTCCAAATAAAGAGTAGAAGACCTCCTATTCGAAGATGGACGAAGCCTAACAACCCACTAGGAGAGACTATTAGGCCCCATACTAGGATAGGAAGGATTTTCGTCACAAAAATAAGTTTTCTCGCCTTTTTGGGACGAGACCGCCGTCTCGCCTCAGGCAAGTGGCGAGACCGCCGTCTCGTCAAACGAGACGGCGGTCTCACCACCTGCAAATGGCGAGACGGCGGTCTCGCTTTCCCAGATGGCGGTCTCGCCACCTGCGAAGGACGAGACGACGGTCTCGTTTGGCGAGACGGCGGTCTCGACCCTGTCAGACGAGAACGGCGGTCTCGCCACTGTCAGGCGCGAAAACCTATAAATAGGGGCTCTCCCCCCCTCATTTCCACACACCACACAACTTTAGCTCTCCCTTCTCTCTAAAAACTTCTCTCTAGAATCCCTCTGACGCATTTCCGGAGCTTCTGAGTGCCTTTGTGAGCGTTTTTTCGACGTCTAGAAGAGTTTCCAGCGTCGTGTAGAGTGAGGGGCTGCCAAAAAGCACCCATTTTTGTTAAAGAAATAAAAAAGAAAGCTTGCTTCGGAGGTTTAAATTCTCCCTCTCTACTTTTACTGCTTTAATTTTAAATTATGTAATAGATTAGGGCCATGTAGTCAAAATTTTAAATTTCGCAAAATAAAAAGGGCAAAAGTGTATTTTTCCGGTTTATTTATTAACAAAGTAGCTGGCCTATCATAGGGAACCCGAAAGGGGCGTAGTAAAGGAACTAATACTTCCTTTACACGTAACTAACTCCCTTACCCAACTCTGGTTCTAATGACCAAAGTTGGTTTTCGAAAACCAACGCCTTTTAAAACCCCTTTCCCGATGTTTCCGGTAAAAACATCGGTGGTGACTCCACAGAACCCTACAAAATTAGTCCTTGGGTTAGCCCGGTTATCGGACAACCCAAGGATGCCCTTTCGAAAACCCAAGGATGCCCTTAACTTGTATTATAACATGTTTTACGGTTTGGCTTTAATAACTGTTTTTTGTTTATAATTACGCAATTGGTTGAAATAAAAATTGTACACAAACCCTTGCACACAACAATTCCCTCTATACCCGGGGGCAAGTGAGAAATCCATAGGGAGTGGGTGGCAAGTACGGTTCGCTGTAGTGAGGGCCTTGAGCCCACCTGTGTGATCGGAAACCACCACTCAAGGTGATAACCTTCCTCTTTTGGCAACAAGACTGACTATGGCCTTAGTGCTAAGCATGGTCGGACGGCTGTAGAGTGGGGACCCTATAATGGGGGCACCTTGGGGGCCTTAGCCTGGTGAGAACAGTTAGAACTAACCCTCGCCAATGCACTTTTCTGCAGGAAAACCCTACCTCGTGATATAAACGAAATCTCGCCTGTTTGCGGATGATCAAATTGTGTGCGCATATGTTTGCTGCATTTGTCTATTGCATAGCATAAACAAACAACAGAACAAAAAACCAAAAATATTTTCAGAAATAAACACCCTTATCTCGGACAGTCTGCCTTTTAGCTAGCCTGGTTTCAGGTTGTTTGTAAGCTAAGTAGCCACGCAGTTTCGACA